AACCTTGGATGTACGAACACAAGGCTCCCCCTCAGAGTCCATGTGCATATCACAGAGTAGCCAATCTTCCTCTCCCGGGAGTCGGTGGCCATCACGCATAAAGGCAACATCACGAACCCTTGTAACTGAGTTTGAAGGCGAGGGTGTTTCCCAAAACACCTCGGGAAGATCAGTGTTATCCAAGCGAAGGATGAGGTTCCCATCTTCCTGAAGCATAACACGAAGGAAGCATAACCTCCATTTCTTGAATAAATGCACAACGAGGTAGATAGATCCAGTCAATCCGTTTGTCGAGACGTTTGACGAAAGGAATCGGCCACTCTCGAAATGATCTTCACTGTGATGATAGTGGCCTCGATGCGTAGGATATAGAGCAGTACCTCCTGGTAAAAGGGCGGGATCAGGAAGGCAATACAGCTCGAAGTAATGGTCACGCAATGACCCTTCGAATTCGTCGGTGAAGCACAAAAGGACATATCCTCCAGGTACAAACGCTGTGATAGTCAAGCTCGGATAATTGTTTATTTCATCCTAAATTCCAGGAGAATTTAGTTTGCTATTCATAAATAAAATGAACACGAAGATACCATGTATCTGGATGACATAGGATACGCCTTCATTGATGCAAGATGTATAAGCCGTATCGGTGCCGGGTCGAACTCTTCGATAATGACAAACTCTGTGCCAACAAAAAACGATGCATCGACCGACTGGCCAGGCCAATCACGGATGGTCACAAATCCAGAAGGTGAAATTTTGCACATTGACATGCTGAAGCAATGAATATGTCAAAACTGCTCTGGAAATTCAGGAAAATATCTACCTTGGCTCGCGATTTGCTTCCTCGCTGGGAGTAGCTGCGAAGGGGAAAAACAAATCCAGTTCCAAATTCACTACTTCACTTCGACTGTATGCCCAAGATAATTCATCGTCTTCGAACGCAGTGTATCGAAAAACTTCGGTTTCACGATTGAGGTCATAAACAAACATTGCGTGGAGACCTTGGACAACAAGGAAGCGGCCATAGCATATTTCCATACCTTCTACCTCGATTCTGCCCATTTGAGTCGCATCAAGTGTGTTGGTTTTTTTTGAAAAAACATTCCGGGGCAGCAGGATTTCCCCAAAGTGTTTCCAATTGGCAGGTATGCAACAGAAGACGCTCAAGATCACTGGTTACCATTTGAGAGGGCGAAGAAACGACGGGTAGAAAGTCATTGTTGCAGGTTCTATATGCTGTTGTCCAGACATGAGGCTCTAATGTAGCGGCTTCAAGTCGTTTACAGGTCTGAGTTGAGGTTCGTACATTAGTAACCTGAAGATCAAGTGTTATCGATTAAATTTACGCTTACTTTCCGTACAGTTAATATATCGGGTGGTCGTAAAAACCTGAAGATGTTGAATAGCACATCATCTGGTAAATCGATGAAAGACGAGGACGTAGTCATCGTGTGAATATTCGTGTATTTTCGGCGGTCCTGATCGAGCAGAGGCTGCAGGGCTGAGCTTATCGCAAAGAAGTCAATGATTAATTTACTAAAGCCGGGCCATGGGTATCAAGTTCGAATCGCTGCCGCGCCACTGGTGCTGCAGCGCACCCTTTCGATTTTATTACTTACTGGGCGGGGCATTCATTTATTCCCATCTTCCAAGCTCATTGTCTAAAGGAGCTTTGGCTTTGCAGCATATTTTGCCACGGTGAAGTCGAATAAGTTCTGAAAAGTTTTGGAAAGGCACACTCTGAGTCCACTGGGAGTACCCCTACGCGAAGTAAAATAGCTTACATATCTTGTTCAACTCGTATCCTACTGGTATACATTGAGTTGATTTTGTGGGAAGCAGGTAGTACTGAATCTAGGAAAGAAATTTCAAGTATTGGGGGATGGTTATGATATATGAGCACCTGGTACGAGCCTGAGGCCTGAGCCTCGAGGAGCGCACTCTAGCGCACTCTGGAGGTGTTTTTGGAGTGGGATACAAAAGTTGGGTGAGGAAGGTTAGTTTGCGAGGCAGGTGGCGTGAAGGCAGCTCTCTTGAGTTTTACATACCTCGGAGACTTCTTCTATTGCTTGTCATGTTACTTCTTAAGTGTTCAACAAAAGATTCGAATTGCGGCAGTCCGTCTGCGAGCAGTTCCTCAGGCCTTCAGGTCTCAAGAAGGAGTCTCCTGTTGCTATACCGTGCTGATGGCTTTTTCGCCTCTTGGCCTGCCTTTTCATTACCTTCCACAGCATTGAGGCCCGGGACCCAAGAGATTGTGACACGGATATCCGGAAACGTCGCGCGTAGTCGAACAAGTTGAAGGCCCTAGTGTGCCACTGGTTTAGGGCCGGATTGTTTGTTCCCGTGACAGATCATGCTTCTCTTCTTCATTCACGATTCATCGTTCGTGAGCTATAACTTTATTTAAGACGGCTGCTACTTCTCTCCGTCCAGGACCATCCTCGTCACTGTGACGAGCCTCATGCCCCAACCAATACCAGGTGCACTACTCGTCAACGCGTCAAAGATCAATATACGAATACAACAATTTCTTCAGTGCAGTTTCTGCGGCATTTCTTGCATGGACAGGATAGGCAGTCCAGTATGTGAGCGAGCTTTACGATACTCGAGAACTTTGGTTACTCGCATCGTACCAGTACAAAACTTTATGAAAGTGCTTCGGTGTACTCTTTTGGGGGTTATGAGACGCCTGGCCCTGGCTGTTCCTTAAACAGGGACCATCCTTCTTGATTCCATTGCTGGTTTTCCGGAAGCCTGTGCTCGTGGTCATAGATAGTGTGCTGACGAAACTTTCTTATATCATTTTCGGTCATCTGCTGCTTGCTGCAATATAAAACCCTAGTTGGGGTGAACTACTAAATGATTAGTACCCAGAATGTTGTTGAAGGCACTCCTCCTCTTCCTCGTAGCTCACATCGACTCAGTCCTCTCCCTCAACAATACTCCGGGCCCACAGTGTCGTTGTCTCTTCTCAGACCCATCCTGTTGGCCTCCAGCAGACGAATTTGACTCCCTTTCCCATCAGCTCTCGCAGCCACTCATTTCTCCCGTTCCGCCTGAATCCGCCTGCTACCCCCCCTCAAATCCGTCGGGCAATTGTACCAATGTTATATTGAATTCTGCTAATGGAAACTGGCGGGCAAATCAATCTGGTTCGATGGAATCCTTCAATTTTGAAACATTCATTTTCGCAAACGGCTCGATTAGTGCTTGTTATCTGAACACCAGCTTGGGTGTACCATGTGAACAAGGAAGCGTACCGCCGATCGGGGTAGATGCTCGAAGCGCACAGGATGTTCAAGCTGCAGTGGCCTTTGCAGTGAAATGGAACTTGAAAGTTGTGATTAAGAGTACGGGGTACAATTGGGTCTTTTATTTGATTGCACGTTTCCTAATTCAATATTTCTAGACACGATCTTCTTGGTCGTAGCTCTGGCCGTGGTTCATTCATGATTTGGACCCATAACATGAAAAATATCAGCTTCGATGCCAACTTTATTCCGGAGGGTGGTCCCCATAACGAGACTTTTAACGGTGAGCTATACGTAGTTACTGTGTGCTTTACTCACAGAATTAGCACTCACCCTTGGAGCCGGCATACAATGGAACGAAGCATACGCTGCTGGCGAGTCATATGGACGTGTCATAGTCGGTGGAACCTCCTTCGGAGAATCTGTAGGTGCGGCATCGGGATACGTTCTTGGTGGAGGACACAGCGTTTTGTCACCCACCTATGGCCTTGGTTCGTGCCTGTATAAATTTGCAGGCAAATCAACTGACGCACATTAATGCACAGCCGTAGACAATGTTCTCCAGTTCACGCTTGTTACTTCCTCCGCCTCCGTCCTGACAGTCAATGCATACTCACATCCAGACTTGTTCTGGGCTTTACGTGGAGGTGGCGGGGGAACCTTTGGCGTTGTCACTTCTGTTACTTATAACACCCATCCTCCAACACCCGCCACCCTCATCTTACTCTCTGTTGAAAATTTCTCCTCGGGCGCGATAGCTCAATCTGTTGTATCTAAATTTCTTAGTCTGCATCCAACACTCGCAGATCTGCAATGGGGAGGTATCGCGTCTTTTGACTCGAGCTTTTTCTCGTTTTCTGGTGTTGCGCCAGATACAACCTTGGCGGAAAGCAATGCGGCTATTCAACCTTTTGTTGATTTCGTGAGGAATGCTACTGCAGGTTCTGGAGAAACTGTCCAATTCTCTACGGTCCCCTTTGATTCAGTCTATGTGCTTTATGACGCATATATTGCCAGTCTTGGTGGAGCTGCTTCGAGCTCGGCGGGGTTAAACGGGGAGCTCGTGTCCAGATTGTTTCCACGCGAACTACTAGAGACGGAGTATGAAAAAGTAGCAGATACTTTGCTAGGGTTGGGGGATTTGGTGTCTTATGTGTGAGCAAAAGCACCTTTAGTGATTTCATACGTGCATGCTAACTTTGTGCGCATCCAATCCTCTATTGTAGATTAGCAGGTGGAGGCGCCGTTTCAAAAGTCGATCCCAACTCCCTTGGTCTCAACCCCGCTTGGCGCAAGGCTTTGGGGCATGCCATTCTTGCTGGTGGATGGGCGGATGGTACAAATGCCACCGGTATCCATCAAGTTGAAAACCAGCTCAAGGGATACTTGGCGGTGCTTGAGGAACTCGTAGGTCCCGATAGTGGATCTTACCTAAACGAGGCATGTTATGATTTAATTATCGCTCCTTCTTGGATCCTGATCTATCCTCAGGCTTCGCTCTACGAGAAAAACTTCCAGCAGACATTTTTTGGGGATCACTATGCTAGGTTAGAATCTATCAAGGATATTTATGACCCGGTAGACCTTTTTGTAGTGATAGAAGGGGTAGGTTCCGAAAGATGGGATGAACTTCTTGATTGTCGCAAAGCTTAACGGCCACAATCTTCGAAGTTTGCACCGTCGACTACAAAGAATAAAATCAAAGCTTTTCATGGTCCCTTGGGTAAACCATCGTCTCTATCTTAGTGGACAAATCCGGATTTGAACCGGAGACCTTTCGCATGCGAATGCAAAGCGAACGTGATAACCCCTACACCATATGCCCAACAACTACTCGTCATTAGATGTCTATATGAGTGTGATATTGTCGAGTTCAGACATTCTTTACTGCCATTTCCTTGGTCATTCTGATGTTCCTTCAACGAGGAGACGTCGTAGTTGCTTGCTGGGCCGTTACGCTGGGTGTGCAAAAGGGCATTACGATCAAACTATCTGCATCCCTACCTTCCGCGACCTCGACAAACTCTCATTTTCATTTGTCCTCCTAGTTCTTCCACGTTGGGTGAACTTGCTCCAAGACGTCTGGTCTCCCTCGCCCTCTCTAGAGGCCCTTCCCTCCTCGATCTGGGCCTTCGATCGAATAACTTGTCATACTACCGTCGTAGGATTGTTACAAGGCTTGACAGGCGAGGATCAACTTGAAAGTAATACTGCAGATGCGTTGGTTAGTTGATCCATGGAGAACAGTTCCAGAATTGTGAAATGGGTGATACCTTCTTTGTCGAAGAAGAGCGGTCATGACCCCAAACATGTACCGCGAACGAGATTAGAAGCCAGTTCAAACTCTTTCAGCAAACGACGTGGAGGAGCGTAGAGGCCACTGAAGAAATCGTTAAATTCAAGAGCTTAGCCAATTTAGAAATGTTCCAAACTTCAAAGATATCGTCCACTCAAACCGAAGAAGTGATCTCCCATACTCGGCTGAACAAGGTGACCTATGACAGTGGTAGACTCGAGCCAGTAGTTTCTTGTTGACACTTTGATGACTGACGATCAGCCGTGTCGGTGAAACAGGGTGTGATTTCACATCACAACTCTACAGCAGGGACTGGTTCGAGTCTATGACAGTGGCGAATGACACTGGTTATCTGAATACTCAGTACTTACTCAGTGCCGCTTAGTTCACTCCTCAGTAAATCGGGATTCGTGAAAACAATAGTTGGTAACCAGCACGTAAAATATTACAATAAACAAAGAAACAGATCAACAAACATGAGAGCTGAATGAACACAGACGGCAGCAAAAAATAAGCCCAAGAGAGAACTTAAGTATAGGACTTTTATGCCACTGTTAGCGTGCTCGACGGAATTGCTGGTCGACGTTTCGCAATCATGGTACAAGTCCAGAACAGATGGTCCAGGCCTCGAAACGGTCTCATGAAGAAGAATTCATCCTTCTTTACTGCTCGAGAACGCAGCTTCCACTGTGAAAGGGACTGAACAATATTTGAAAACCGAGGAAATACTTCGTCCATCTGCGGTCACTTTTCTGGATCATCCTGGATCATATCGTTCACCAATGGCCTTAAAACTTCAAACCCATGTATACCCGAATGCTCAAATTTGGGATCTCCCTACGAATGAGCATACGTCAATAACCTACCAGTAAAATGAAACGACTCACATCCAAGAAGCGACGTCGGATCATGTTGCCAACCAAGAAGACATCAGTTGCGAAAGGATCACAAGGAGCCTCAGCCTTACATTCTGGGGGCTCAGTACCTCCAGATAGTATGGCATACTCTGATGACCGTTCTTGGGAAGAATCATATTTTCGAGAAAATCCAAAATCAATCAGGTAGTACCTGGGAGGAACAAGTGTCCGAGAGAAATGGCGCACGCGTTTCTTGTAATCGTATGTGCGAGAAGGTCTGCTAGGATGATGGCCATCGGGGTACATTTTCTTCGCATCCATGACCATGTTATTAATGGAACAGTCTCTGGGTAAGTTTTAAGAAGTGAATTTCAGTATACCAGTGGCTCAGCTTTTACATACTTATGCGCAACATTGTTTTGATGCATATACTGTATTCCCTGAAAATTTTAGCAGAATAAATTCAGTACTCTGATATCCAAGAACTCACCTCAAGAATCTCTTTGATGAACTGAATTCCCTCCCCAACTGTTCGAAAGGGAGGATTTTCAGGTTCTCTCATCCATGGCATCACCAGAAGGCGTTCGTCCTCGAAGCCAGGAACACACAAGACTTCTAGCAAAGAAATGGAATGATTGGATAGTTGCGACGCGTGCTCACCGGTAGAAAACAGCGCACAGATATCCTCTTCCTGAGAATTGGTAGTTACGCCGTTGTAAGTATGGCGTATACACACGTGCTCCGCACTGCCACCATCCGTTTATACTTCGTTTCATCCCAGATAACCTTACCGTACCGACAACCACCACCGTTAGTTCTTATCGTTGCTAGTAGGCCTCGCGTCTCGCCGTTTGGAATATAACGTGGTCCTGTCAATACGTGTGATTGTCAGTGTTTCTGTCGAGACTAAACGACAGCCTTTCAGCCGTCTTCTCCAGTGATATTACGAACACGTTTTATTGCTACCATGGTGGAGTCAGATATCCTCAAAGCATCTATTATACGTTTATTCTGAAGGGCAGGGAGCTCAGGTATAAGAAACGGAAGAGAAAAAGAAGCATACCGTCAAGTAGTGACCATCCTCGAAAGTGAAGGGATTTTGAAGTCGTTTATAGGAAGGTTTCCATCCAGGACGATACCTGGGCCTCAGAATATATCCTTTCTCCTTAAGAAACTCGTAGCGGTCAGCCCACCACTCCTCGAATTTATCAAGCCCACGCCCTTGTCTATCTCTGAGCTTGATACCGTCTACTTGCGTAGTCATCATATACGAATATCACCAAAGTGAGTGTAGCGAACGATCAGATGAGCGTAAGGACAGGCCGTAGCGCGGGTTATCTCAATTTGTTAGCGAGATACTTGGACTCGAAATCTTCGATCTGAGGTTCAGGTGAAGCTCAGATGTGTGGAATCATATTCAAATCAGGGCAATAGAACTATTAGAAGACATGTGGCCATCGCTGCGCCACACTGTGGCGACGAATCAGTAAACCATCCTCAATATGGGATCGTGCCGGTTATAATCTTTATAATCCTCTTCCTCCAGGCTCCTCCATCATCCTGGATGATCACAGCATGTCCAAAAGCACGGCCAACCAAACACAACTCCTCACTATCTATAGCCCTTTGTAGCCCTCAGCCCTGCGTTCCCAATGAATATTCTAGGAGTGGTAGGGCAGCTGGTTCTGAAGGATATTACTCAGATGGTGGAAAGTCAAGAGAGAGTTCTCATCTTCTCCCGCAATGCTAATAAGTAGTGGAACCGTTGTTCGGTGGCCACGAAGCGAGTCGAAAATGTACAATACGACGAGGATTTGGAGAGTAATTGAAGATACATGTTATGCTTATCATTGATGAAAGAGAAGTAATTGGCTTGTTTATTACCGGAAATGGGTTCCCCGTGAACGAGGTCTCAGCTTCTCCCAGGTGCACCGACTTTAAGCCGCTGGGATTGCCGGTCGATTCTTCGCGGTCATGGCACAAGTCCAGAATAGATGGTCCAAGCCTCGAAACGGTTTCATGAAGAAGAATTCATTCTTCTTTACAGCTCGGGAACGCAGCTTCCACTGCGAAAGTGACTGAACGATATTTGAAAACCTAGGGAGTACTTCGTCCATCTGCGGTCGTTTTTCTGGGTCATCCTGAATCATATCATTCACCAATGGTCTCAAAAAATCGAATCCATATAATCCCGAAATTCCGCGCTGGGACGTTGGATTTCCCTAAGAATAGTGACTATATGCGTCAGAAAACCTACAGAAATATAAACTAACTCACATCCAGGAAGCGAAGCCGAATCATGTTGCCAAGCAAGAATACATCAGTTGCGAAAGGATCACAGGGGGTCTCAGCCTTATATTCAGGGGGCTCAGTACCTCCAGATCGTATGGCATATTCTGGTGTTCGCTCTTCAGAAGGTTCGTACTGTTGAGAAAATCCAAAATCTATCAGGTAGTACCTGGGAGGGGCGAGTGTACGGGAGAAGTGGCGCGCGCGTTTCTTGTAATCATAGGTGCGAGAAGGTCTGCTAGGATGATGGCCATCGGGGTACATTTGCCTCGCGTCCATGACCATGTTGTTCATAGAACAGTCTCTGTAGAGTTATTTAGAAGTGAATTACAGTAACTCAACCTGCATGTACATACCTATGTGCAACACTATTTTGATGCATGTATTGTATTCCCTACAGAAATCAGGAGAACACCTTCATTAATATACATAAAAACCCACCTCAAGCATCTCCTTGATGAACTGAAGTCCTTCCCCAACTGTTCGAAAAGGAGGATCTACTGGTTTTCGCATCCATGGCATAACTAAGAGGTCTTCGCCTTCAAATCCGGGAACATGCAAGACTTCCAGCAGAGGGATGGAATGATTGGATGGTTGCGACGCATGTTCATTGGTAGAAAATAGAGCACAAATATCTTCCTCCTGAGAAGTGGCAGTTATTCCGCCTTTCAACGTAGTTTTACGAACACGTTTAATAGCCACCATGGAGGAGTCAGATATTTTCAAAGCATCTATAACATCCTGATTCTGAAGGGCAGGGAGGTTATATATGAAGAGTGGAAGAGAGAAAGAAGCACACCCGTAAGTGGTGACCATCCTCGAAGGTGAAGGGATTTTGGAGTCGCCTATAGGAAGGCTTCCATCCAGGACGATATCTGGGCCTCAACAAATAACCTTTCTCCTTGAGAAACTCAAAGCGGTCCACCCACCACTCCTCTAACTCGTCAAGTCCAAGGCCTGGCATATCTTCGAGCTTGATGCCATCTACTGTAGTCATCACTGTAAACGAGAATCGGCAAGAGTGAGTGTGGCGAACAATCAAGTCAGCGTAAGGACAGGTCGTAGCGCTAATTACCTCGACTGTTAGCGAGATACTTGGATTCGAATCTTCGATAGGTTCAGGTGAAGAGCTTTGAGATTTTGGTGCATGAAATCATATATAAATCAGGACAATAGAAAGCCATGTGGCCCATCAACTCTGCGCCACACTATGGGCCACACTGAGCCACACTGAACGATGCAGAAAACTATCGCTATTCGGATATTCCCAACTGCTGTTCCTCAATGGGACCGTGTCGGTTATCCTAGGTTATCCTCTTCCATCGCTATGGATGACGAGCGGCAGTTACACCATGCGCAAAAGCATATCTTCGTATAGCTTGA